CACATGCACTCACCTTTATGTATATGTACGTATAAGGGATGCACATGCATGCATACATTATACATACATGTACATGTGTATTCAGACCTGCTTTTGTAAGATAATAGTAATGAATAAAAGCTGGGTTCAAACTTAGAAAAAATAGGTTCAAATTTTTGTTGATAGACTCATATTGACCTTCGACCACAAGATAGCAAGGAACCAAGGAACCAATGTATCCTCCTTTTGCTCTTAAAAATGAAAGACCCTAAAAATCAACAGTAATCAGTGAATGTGTTTTGGGTTCTGGATGTGGAATTAATGAAATTGTCTTGCTATACATGTGGAATTTAACACTTCTAAACAGCTGAGCATAAACTTAGAAATTTATACCGGTAAGAATGAGTCCCAAAATTGTGTTTTCATGTGTTGACCACATCATTGTTTAGGTACGTGGTAAACAACATGAATAGGGACACCAAGAGTGAGCTATCTTGGCCTTCAAATCCAGCAGAGGCATTGGAGGAGGTCATTAAAAGGCTGCGAGTACCCTAGGCTGCATCCAGACAATCGGAAGCTCCTCGCCCCTTTCCCTGTCCTTGGAGTGTAAAGTTCTGCCCCCCACCCCATCCTCACAGGGGGAACCATTTTCAAGGATGCAGACTTGAGAGAGCAATGTGTTGTTGCGACCATCTGGACCTTATAATTGACTGAACCCAGTTAAAGCCTTTAGGTAAACTTTTAAGATTCTGGCGGGCAGGTGCGGAGACCTACTCGTCTTGCAACCGCCTAAGACAAGCCTTCTAAGTCAGTTCCCATGCTTATTAAGTCTTCCACCTATCCATCTGGACTGGTCTGCCTCTTCCTTCACTCTCCCCTTGCCCTCCACAGATGGGGGCTGGTTTGTGAACCCACAAGAGTAGGCTAAGGAATAACAACATACTACGTGATGGGACACGTGCGTCAAGGCCTTAGAGGTGGAGTGGCAGGGAACGCAGCACCGCCTGTGTATCAGGGAAGGTTTCCTGGGAGAAGAGATGGTTGTACGTCACAGGTGTCCTCCATTAGCTAACACCTGGTGAGGGAAGAGCCTTCCCCCGGGAGGGACTGTCACCTGTGTCCTGAAGACCTGAGAGAATAAGGTGAGGGAGTGCAAAGAAGTTTGGGTCCCTAGGATTTAGGGTGTGACGGGGAGCCGAGGACGCCCTGCTGTTCCTTCCACCAGGCTTCCTCTGTGAAGACTTCCCTGACAGCTGGGGTTGGCGATCTCCTTCACCATGTCCCCACGATGTTTTCACATATTTTTATTATTGGATTTTTCACAACCAATTTCGTTGTTCATGTCTGATTTCCATCCTTGTCTGTGGGATAAAACAGCAGCAGGGCTGCCGCATGGTTCTCAGCATCAAAACTAGGAAACAGTAGGTGCTCAATACCTGTTTATTAAACACACACGTGAATGTCTGGCTGGCTGAGCGAGTGATGATGCAGTTTGGGGATGAGAGAGCCCAGAATTGCCTTGGTTATCAAGCAACACTTCATAAAACCTTAATGGTTTCATTTTTCTGTTCCAGATTACTTGCAGCATATAATAGCCTTACGGATAAACACCTGGCTGGATATTTTAACAATACAAGAATAAGGCGGCATCTCTTAAGATCAGGGCTGGTAAGATTTGGTTTACTTTCTCCCTGCCCCCTTGTTTCATTATGCCTGATAATTCCCTATCTTTTCTGGTTTCCACTTTGAGCTTATCAGTGACATCTTTTCCCTTCCCTCATCTTAGAAAAATTACTTCCTTTCCAAAACTCTGATTTATCTATTTGAGGCTGTGTTTCAAAGATAGGAAGAGAGGTCACAATGACTGCTGAAGCAACTTATAAATTATTGAGGAAAATCCCTATGAGTTTCCAACAGCTTATTTCATTTGTTTATTCATTCATTTATTCAACACGTATTTATTGAACACATTGTATAAACCAGGAACTGTTAGGGAGTTAAGGACAGAGAGGACTTTACTGCCTTCAGGAAGAAAAATATGGTTTTTAATAATCACAGGATATGATGTGAAAGACATGAACAGTTCAAATTCTTCCCTTAAATTTTTAAAAACTCTTTCATTTCCTGTAATGGTTTATTGATACATTAGGGTCTTTCATTCGCTCCAAAACTTTCATTTCCACAAAATTTTCATTTCTCCAAATGTTTATAATGTGAAAACGTTTTAAAAACACTATAGTTTTCCACTGGAAGTAAGGGGTGTGGTTTTAGAACGTGTGACTAACGATTTTGATTTTAGCTGTTTAAATTCTTCAAACACAGTAGGTTTCCTTAACTGTTGTTGCCATGGTGTTGGAAGGAGCTGCATTGCATTTCTAATTGTTGTTTATGTGCTTGGCACTCTGTCTGGGTAGATCTCAGAGAGCTTGCTTTCTGTCTCCTGGGGCTTTGTTATCAGACAGACCTGGCTGAAAGCTGGCTCTGCCATTTACCAGACAGACTCTTCAGCAAATCACTTACTTAACTTCCTCAGCTCCAGCTTTCTCAAAATGGTAAAATGAAGACAATGACACTCAGCCCTCAGGATGGTTGTGGCAATTAGAGACGTGTAATAAATGGTTGTTGTAATTACCATGGTTACTATTAACACTACTTCTTCAGATAACGGTCTGTGAGCTTCATACATAAATGAGATGGACTTTGTATTTACTTATCAACATCATGAACAGGCATTCACTGAACACTGATTATGAGCCTGGCAGCTCAGATTAGGAAGACACAGCCCTTTCTCTAGAGCAGTGGTTTATACAGAGTCCCCGAATCATCAGCGGTGTTCAGCACCACCTGGGAACTTGTCAGAAAATGCAAATTGTAGAGCCCCCCGCCCCACCCCGATCTGTTGAGTCAGAAAATGTGGGGTGGGGTCCATCAATCTGTTTCAACTTGCCTTCCAGGTGATTCTTCAGATGGTGGCTCAAGTTTAAGAACTTCTGCCCTATAGGAGCTTCCAGTCTAGTTGGGGCGACTAGATGCTCCCAGAGGAGAGATGGCAATGACACGCCAACTGCTAAGGGAGCGGCAGTGCAGGGCATTCTCAACAAATGTTCCCCCGTTGGATAGACAGGACATGATATCCCATGGACAGCACATCTCAAAGACTGTCACTGAGTTATTCGTAATTCCAAGCACACTTTCTATAACCACACCCTTTTCTTCCATCGGAAAATACATTCATAAAAGAAAGAGTATCAAAAAGCAGTCACTTGTAGCACAACCCTAACTGATCTCCACAGTCCAGTATGTTGCAACAGTCGTGCTAAAAAACTAGTCATCAAAATTAAGAAACATGTGGACTTGAATTAGATACGAAAAGAAGAGCAGGGTTTAAATAAGTGGAAAGGAAGAAGATGAACACTCCAGGAAGGATAACATCCTCTGTTTAAAGAAGACAAAGTAAAATACAACAGATATGCCCAAGGGAGGGAATGAAAGAAAAGAAAAACAAGTAAGTAAAAATCAGAAACTGCCACTCCTGGGACTTTTAATGATGGCACTTGGAACCAAACCGAAATACTTTAAACCTGCAGTACGTTATAACCTGAAAATACCTGCATCACTACAAATCAAATTACATTGTGGGCTGGAGAGTGGAAGAAGAAAAGCAGTGTGAAAACAAAGTAATGAAACCAATTATTTTGAAAACAAACTGATGAGCGCCTGTAGCTTACATGTTTTGCCCTTCAGAGTATTTCCTGTGAGACCATCAGTCCTGTGAACACCGCTCCTTTTCATTGTTTCAAGGTAGCCCCCACCTCTTCCTCCTAAATGTGTTAAAAAAAAAAAAGACATGAAAAGAACACCTGGGTTCCATCAAGGGAGAATTGTTACTCTAATGAAAATCTTGTTTTAAACGTCAAGTGCACCACCTGTGTGTGTTTCCACAATGATGGGTCTATGAGAAAGCCTTTCTCTTTTTTTCGCCTGATGAAATATTTATTAAAAGTGAAAGCTTATCAACCGTAGTACTAGACTCCCTTAAGCTTAAAAGACACTGCCGCGTTCTCTGTCTGTCTGATTGACCAACTGTTTGTCTCCCTGTCTTTTTGGGTAACTGATAGTACATTTTTGGCTTTGTGTTTCTCTGTATGTTTTATTTATTCATGGCAGATCACAAGAAGTGGAAGAATACTTTCTGAAAAGGAATACAAACTAAATATCATGAGGAGGGATCACCAAAAATACATCCGGGAGTGCTTGGCCCAGGCGATTTTCCATAAGGTTCTTGATCTGGAGGTACAAGTATTAACTATTTGCTTTACAGTCGACACTTTCTAATATGATAACTAGTAATGCCTTCTGTACCCAGAAGCAGGGGAATTCTTCCTATATTTTATTAAAAAAGGAATGGAACAAGGTGACCTGAGAAATTATATCCCTCTAGGTAGTGAGGAGGCAAGACACTAAAGTAAGCCCTTCTCCATCCCAGTTAGGGGGAAACCTGGACATCATTTCATGTTTTGTGATATTTAATTTAACAAATGTAGATTTTTTAATCCATAATGGCTACTCTAAGACATACTAGCCCTCACCATCTGTACCTCAATTTCCATTTGCTAAGAAAAAAGTGGCATCTGTTTAAATATCAGTAATTCCACTGCCATGATTTCTTTTTTCTTCAGATTTGTTATTCTTTCAAGGCTCTGAAGCTCAGCCTTATGCTAAATTTCAAGGAACAGGCACTGAAACATCTGCTGTCCCTCCCACTTTAGGCCACATTGGTCAGCATAGATTCACTAACCAAGCGTCAACAACTTTTGTTTTTTAAGTCTGACAAGGCATTTTTAGTAGGCTAGCTAACTTGATGAACCATTTTAGCCTTGCTCCACGGAACTTGTAGCCAAGCATCAACACCGTTTAAAGTCTGTGAAAAAGCACGTCACTTCTTGGCTTAACCAGGTAGCAGTAAATCAGAAATCTTGGCTTGTAAAACCGTTGATCCGTGGGTGCAGTAAACATTTATGAACAGCGACAGAGTCATCAGTAAACCAGCAGTAACTGCAGTGCCACTGAAAATACGTATTATTATGCTACTATTAAATTGAGCAAGTGTTGCATTCACTTCAGATGTATATGATCTGTTCACGTAGAAATTCATTTAGTGATTAATATTACGTGCATAAACTACATGGAGTCATTGTTTGTGACCCCAAATTCACCTGCTTATAAAAGAACTAGTTGGAATTTTACAACTAATGTTAAAAATATAGTAGTGCGTAAAATTAATCCGTACATAATTTCAAACTTAATAGGCACCAAGCTCTGTTTTAGTCTTGATCCTTGAACTTTGATTTTCCAAAATTTCAAATTCCTGCCACATTGTAACTGTTAAATACGCTGTTTTTAAAGAAGACTTCATGTATTCTTAGTTTGGAGTAAATATCTTAGACAAATGTTAATATGTAATATATAATTTTATATAATATATATAAGTATAATTTAAAAATAAAATATTTCTAAATTGTCACATTTATTTCACATTTAGTTTCTGCTGGTGTTGTTTACTAATATTGTTGTATTGATATTCATGTATTCATTCATGCAAACAAATGTTAATTGCAGGCTTACAGTGTACCAATATGGGGCTATGTGATGTAGCTGTGAGATATAATTTTGTAAAAAATGCTAAAGAAAATGATCAAATGCTAGAAGAGAGGAACAAGCAGACTGAGCTCTGAAAGAAGGGAAGGATGACTTGCGCCTGTGAGAGTCAGGGGGAGCTGCAGAGGTCCCGCTCTTTGAACTGAACCTGGCCTGAGACTCACGTGAAAACATGAGCAGAGCATCCCAGAGAGTGAAGATGGCAGGTGTGAAGCTGCAGAGTGTGAAGGGACATGGTGGATGGAAAGAAAGGCTCGCTGTGGCCAGACTGCACTGGGCATTGGTTGAAAGAGTGGCAGGAAGTGACTCTCCCCAGTAAGCTGGGGCCCAGTTTCTGGCGGCCTTCAATTCCCAGCTAGGTCTGGAGTGTAGGTGATGAGGCGATGAAACCTTTTTCAGCAGGGAGTGAAATAAATGAGCAGAGCTGTTTTAGAAAGATGATGTTGCTAAAAATGTGGAAGATGGATTAATGAGCTGGAAAAGATTGGAGGTGGGAGGTCAATTAGGAAGCTGTTGCCAGAGGGTGTGGGCTAACGCAGTCGAAGATGCCAGGGAGATGCAGCTGTCTGCAGAGATCTGGGGAGAGAGACCACACTGACTGCACGAGGAGGTGCTCAGAGCAACTCCAGGGCTTCTGGCTTGGTGGTGTGTGCCTCACGGGCCATCAGGGAAAACAACACGGGCTAGAAAAGAACCTTCCAGTGGTGGAAAAACGTGCCCGAGAGAGTGGTGTCCTGGGAGCCAGGAGGGTCTCACCAGCTGCCAAATGGTTAAATAAGGTGACTACTGGGATGAAAAAAAAAAGAAATTACATTTGACCCAGAGGATGAAGACATCGGTGGCCTTGGGGAAACTAGTTTCAGATGGTAAAGTCAGGGTGGGAGTGGGTGACTGCAGTGAGCAGAGAATAAATGGAAGATGGAAAATGGTTGATAGTGAATTTAATAAAGTTCAGTGATAAGTGGGTGAAATAACAGGAAAGAGGGAGAGAAGAAAGGTTTCAAGAAGAGGATTGATGATTGAGGCTGCAGGGTCCCAGCGGCAGTAGGAGGGGGTCAAGAACAGAGGAAAAAAATGACTTTTTAAAAAGGGCTCGTCAGTCAGACCTCTCAAATGTGTCTGAATGATTTCAAATCAGATTGTGAGCAGATTATTTTTACATGAGGTTTATTTAAAAATTCTATAATGAATATATTACTGACAATTTGGAAATCACAAGAAACCATAAGGAAAATCACCATCCATAAGCACACATCCCTCCCCTCAGAGATAACTGCTGCTAACATCCTCACACTCCGTCTAAGTCTCTCTCCTGTTCGTATTTATACATTAATAAAAGCATGCTACGTTGTGAGAGGAGCATGGCGTTTTTGAAGGAAAAAAAAAAGACCTAACAGGCAATTAGTGTCAGATAGACCAAGATTCAAATTACAGCTTCGCCGCTGACCGGATGTGTGACCTAGGGCCAGTTCAGGTCCTCTGCCTCGGTTTCTTCATTTGTAAAATGAGGCTGTGTAGCAATTGGACTTGTTTGTGGAGAGACGATGGACAAGCAGCTCTTTCCCAGGACAGGGACAGGCACACGGTGTGAGCTTGACCAGCTGTATTTCTGCGCTGCATCCTACTTTTATCTGCAGCTCTTTCATTTTCCACTTTTTGAAACACAATCTTTATGAATCTTATTTTTAAATTTGTATTTATTTATTCATTTGTTTATTTATTGTTTGGGTGGAGGGGAATTAGTTTTGTTTGTTTTTTTGTTTATTTAATGGAGGTATTGGGACTGAACCCAGGACCTATGCATGCTAACACACACGCTACCACTGAGCTACACCCTCCCCTGCTTTATGAATCTTATTTTAATAATTATTTTCTATTCTGTCATATGGATATGCCAAAAACTTCACCATTCTCTTGAAAGTTTATATTGCTTCTGAATTTCTGCTTTGAGAGAAAATAAAACCTTTCAGACAGCATCTTTGTGCATAAAACATTTTTTTTATTATTCAGATTTTCCCCTAGGTGTAGACATGAAATTTATCAGTTAGAGAGTAGGAACACTTTTAACTGCCTAATGTATTTTAGGAATTGGCTTTCCAAAGAGTTGTGCCAATTTATATCCCCACTTGCACACTTATGCAGGTAATTCTTCTCCATCTCAGCGACAGGAGGGGTAATTGAGAATCCAGTTAGCTGGTGGGATTATTTTCCTCTAAAAATTATTTGCTATAATTGATATGATTCTTTCCTCCTGTATGCTTAGCGTTACCATCAGCTTGAAATTAAAAAGAAGCTGGAGACCTTAGCTAGGAAGGAGCGAATGCAGAGATTTAAGGTAAGGAGTTGACATAACTTCTACTTCATAATATTATTTCATGCTTTTGAAGGCCAGTGGTACTATCATTGGAGTTCCTTGGGGCACTTTATTTGGGGGTAACTCATAACTGAGGTCAAATGATCATTCCATCAAGCTTAAATCTTGGCCACCTCTGTTATGGAAGATCATGACAAAATAGGAGCTGCTGTGTGAGATAAATTGTTTAAGGGGGTGTGGAGGGATAAATTGGGAGTTC